TCCTCCTCCTCCTCGTCCTCCTCCTCCTCATCCTCCTCCTCCTCGTCCTCCTCCTCCACCACCGACGAGGACTCCTCCTGCAGCTCGGATGACGAGGCCCCGCCGGCCCCCGCGGCCGCCCCCTCCGCCCAGCCCGCCCTCCCCACCAAGGCCTCCAAGCCGGGGGGCAAGGCACGGGCCTCCGTGCACTCCCCCAGCAAGAAGGCGCCGGCCCCCCAGCCGCCACCGCCGCCGCCACCACAGCCCCCGCAGCCCAAGGCCCAGGCCAGCGCCGGGGCCAAGAGCCGGCCCAAAAAGAGGGAGGGCGTCCACCTGCCTACCACCAAGGAGCTGGCCAAGCGGCAGCGGCTGCCGTCCGTGGAGAACCGGCCCAAGATCGCCGCCTTCCTGCCGGCCCGGCAGCTCTGGAAGTGGTTCGGCAAGCCCACACAGGTACCCGGGGCGGCGGGCTGGCCGGGGGCACAGGACCTGCCTTCCTCGGGGATCTGGCTGCTGCGTCCACTTGTCTGTCCTTCAGAGCCTCCCCACGGGCTCGGGGGAGGGACGGGTTGGGGGGTGGACGTGGAGACCCGTTTTACTTTCGGGAACTCGGAGCCTCAAGCTGTCCAAGGACACGCAGGGGGCAGAGCAGGCCTCGAACCCAGGGCTGTCCGTGTGCAAAGACTGTGCTGGATTGGTTGACTGTTAGGCGATTCCGAGTCGCGCTGGCCTCTTATGTGCAGAGCAGAACTCCATTGGGTTTTCAAGGCTGCGAGCTGGAAGCAGGTTGCCAGGTTTTTCTTCCCACGTCTGGGGTTTCGGAAGGCCAGCCTTCTGGCCCGTAGGCGCATGTAACTGTTGGAGCTGCCCAGGGATTCCTGTCGGTTTGCAAGGGCTGTCGTAATGAAGTGCCACCAACCACGTGACCTAAAGCAACAGGCATTTCTTGTTTCCGCTCTGGAGGCGAGTCGGGGGAAGCCAGTCTCGTGGAGTTGAGTCCGAGAGTCGGCAGGGCTCTGCTCCCGACGGGTCCAGGGGAGCCTTCGGGGCGCTTCCAGCTTCCGGGATCTGCCGGCCATCCTGACATCACGTGGCTCATGGCGGCTCTGTGCCTCTCTCCCTCTGTGTTTGCGTCCACAATTTCCTTCTTGGAAGGACGCCAAGCGGCTCTGGTGGCGCATTGGTTACAGCGCTCGGCTGCCAGCCAGCAGGTCAGCTGCTTACACCCAGTAGCTAGGGGACAGATGGGGCCGTCTACTTCTGTGAGGATCGCGGCCTGGGAGACCTCATGCAGTTCCTGTCTCCTCTGGCCTACACGGTCGCTGTGAGTTAGAATCCACTTACGGTGGTGGGTTTGGGTTTGCGTTTTTTATTAATGATTCCAGAGGGTCCCTCAAGTTCTCTTAGCCCAAAAAAAAAAAAAAGAACAACCAAACCCACTGCTGTAAGTCAATTCTGACTCATAGCGAGTCCTCTCCCTTGGGTTTCTGAGGCGGTATCAGCCAGTTTTCCTTCCTTGGAGCAGCTAGTGGGTTTGAACCGTCAGCCTTCTGGTTAGCCGTCAGATGCCTTAGGCACTCAGCTACCAGAGCTCCTCGTGTCTGGCTGTATTTTCCACTTCTCTTTACCTTCGTGGGGGTAGGCGGCTCCGGGAGCTCAGCTTTCCGTGGACCACTCCCCACGCAAAGACCCTCTTCCTTTCCAGCCTGGGTCTCCTTGTCCCGACTTAGGTCAGGCTCACAATGGCCAGAGGGACACGAGGTTCTGGGTGGCCAGGGCTGTGTCACCTGTCCATCCTTACAGTGTATGTGTGTGGGTTCCAGAAGGAGCCCGCCACATCCACCCCAGGGCTCCCTGACACCCCCCCACACCCTGGGGCTCCCTGAGACTGGCACACCTCACTCCCTCCCACACCCTGGGGCTCCCTGAGACCCCCACACACCCCAGGGTCCCTGAGACCGGCACACACTCACTCCTTCCCATACCCTGGTGCTCCCTGACACCGACACACACCCTGAGACCAGTACACCTCACTCCTTCCCACACGATGGGGCTCCCTGACACCCCCATACACCCTGGGGCTCCCTGACATCCCCACACACCCCAGGGCTCCCTGAGACCGGCACACACTCACTCCTTCCCACACCCTGGGTCTCCCTAACCACACGCATGCACTCACTCCTTCCCACACCCCTGAGCTCCCTGATAGCCCCACACACCCCAGGTCTCCCTGAGACCGGCACACACTCACTCCTTCCCACACCCCGGGGCTCCCGGACACCCACATGTCCCCACTGACTCCCACACACAGAAACGTCGGCCCACTGGTGCCTCTGCCGATCGTGGCGCCCCCGAGAGGGCCCTGGGTGGTGTGGGTATCGAAGCTCTCCTGGGTCCACGCCTCTTTTTATTTTTTTAATTGTGCTGAAATATACACAAACATAAAAGGCCATTGAAACCATTTTAGGTGCAGAATCCAGTGACAGTAGTCACCTTCACTGCCTCGTGCCACCACTATCCATGTCTAAAATTTGGTCATCCCCCAGACAGACACCTTCAGCCCTTCAGCAGGGCTCCCGGCCCCGGCCCCCGGCTCCCTCTAATCCACTCTCCGCAGGTATTTCCTCTAACATCTAGGGTGACCTTTGCCTGAGACCACACAGGACTTGACTTGTCCTTCTGTGTCTGGCTTTTTCTCTCGGCGTGTTTTCAGGGTTCATCCGTGTTGGAGCATGACTCAGAACTTCACATTTTCCCTTCATGGCTGAGTGATACTCCGTTGTGTGAATGGACTCCCTTTGTTTCTCCATCCCTCTGTAGATGGCCACCTGGGCCGTCTCCACCTTCCGGCTGCTCTGAGCAGAGCCGCGGTGAACAGTGGCGTACGCGTGTCTGTCTGAGTACCTGCTTTCAGGCCTTGTGGGTGCAGACCCAGGAGCGGAATTGCTGGGTCACGTGGTATTGGAGGAACTGCTAGACTTTTTCCCAGAGACTGCCCCATCTTACCTCCCCCCTGCAACGTGGAGCGTTCCAGTTTCGGCACCTGTAGCCACCCAGTTCCTGCCAGTGTAGCCTTGAGGGCTTCTGGGGCCAACCGGCTCGAGGTGTCTTCAAAGTTTGGGAGGCTTTTGGCAACTTTGTGTCGGTGCCTTTGGGTGGACGAACTGGCTGGAGAGGCTGTGGGTGTCACAACTCAAGAACAGCCTGAGTTCGCCTTCTGGGGCTGCTGCCAGGGGCGCTTAGAAACCCTCGCAGTGGGAGGCCAGCTTGATCTAGCCCACCCAAGGGAGGGCTGTCTGTAGTCGGGTGACTTGGAGTTGATTTTCTGTTCACAGCAGTCCCCCGTGACAGAACGGAACCGCCCTGTAGGGTTTTCTGGGCTGTGAACTTCATGGGAGCAGGCCACCAGGCCTCCCTCCCACAGAGCCATTGACTGGGCTCAAACTGCCACCCTTTTCCAGTTAGCAGCTGAACCCTTAACCATTGCACCAGGGGGGCTCCTTGAAGGCTCTTTGGAAGGCGGAGGTAGCTCTCCCTCGGCCAGTGGGGCAGGGTTTTTCCCCACTCCCTCTGATGCCAGCTTTGTTTCCGGCCTGCCCGCCTTTGGGTCACTAACCTGAACTTGGGGCAGACCACCTGGCTTCTTCAGCCCACAGGGCACGGGACTGTGTGACCTCAGGCCTCTGTAGAGTGCAGACACAGGGGAAGAGGTCTCTGCAGGAGGCCACGCCAGTTTCCGAGGTCCCTCCTGAGTTTGGAGATGCTTCTAGCCTCTTTCCCGAGGGCTGCAGTGAGTAGCCAGGTGCTCCAAACCCTGGATGTTTAACTGAAGCCTCCAGAGCTCTTAGTCCTGGCAGGCACTCTGTCCAAGAAGACGTCCCAAGGAGACAGCATTGGAGCCAGTCGCAGGGCTCCCCACTCTCCTGCCCATTCCTCATTTTAGCACTGCCGTTGGCAGGCTTCAGCATTAGGATCAGCAAGGGCTCACTGCTATAGAGGATAGAAACGAAATTAGGGGAACAGACTTAAGCACAGAGTGGAACTGATTGACCTCTTTCCCCGAAAAGGCCAGGGTGTCTGGCTTCAGGTATAGCTGGGTCCAGGGGCTCAAAGGGGAGCTCTAGACTCATTCTCACATCCCTGCTCCAAGTGTCACTCTTCTCCCCTTCTTTTGTGCTGGTCTCCCTGCCGCTCTCGTGACAAGGGGCTCTAATTGCTGCCAGTCACAGTGTAGCAGCTGGAAGTGATGGGAAGAAAGAACCTCTTTCCTAATTGGTCCAGCTCAAGTCGCTTGGCTGTGTCTGGCTTGGGTCATGAGCCCATGCCTAAACCAATCATAGTGGCTGGGAGGATGAGATGTTCCGACTGGCCAGACTGAATCATACGCTTGCTCCCGGGGGTGGGGTTGGAGAAGGTGTTGAAAAGGCGTGAGAGCTGGGTGGGAAGAATGTAGCTCCTTTCAAAGATGAGTGGGTTTAGAAATCTTAGCCCGCCCTCCCACCTGGGATTTATACTGTGTTCTGACCTGAAAAGGATTTAAGCCATTAACAGAACACATTAGAAACTAATGAGATGTATGTATATTGCGAGGTCGGTCCAATCACTACTAAGGCGCTCTGGTAGCATAGTGCCTAAGGCACTTGACTGTTCACCAGAAGGCTGGCGGTTCAAACCCACCAGCCACTCCTCAGAAGGAAGGTTGGGCAATCTACTTCCCTAGTGATACTGCCTCGGAAACCCAAGGAGGGGTGGCTATGAGTCGGGTCCGAGTCAACGGCACATAACAACAACAATCACTACTAGGGAACCAGTGAATTAAAAATAGAAAGAACAAGTATTGAATGAGGTAGGAAATTTACATTTCGATTTCCCCAATTCAGACCCTCCTCCAAAAACAAAACAAAACAAAAAATTAACTTTGAGCTTCCTGGCAGCCGAAGTGAAAAGGGAAAGAGTTTTTAGGTCTAGTTTCTTGAAGAAAAAGCCTCCTGGTTCCTTGGGTGGGCTGAGCTTTGTGTAGCCCTCAGTGCTCAGAGAAAATTTCTCCTCTAGGGACAGGGACAGTGGAGGCAGCAGCCACCTGGTGCTGGCGTGGGATCTGTGATTCTGACCTTAGATCTCGCCCCTCCTCTGAGCCTTAGGTCCAGAGAGCTGCACATCTGTCCCAGTGCAGGCCCAGGCTCGGGCACCAAGGAGGGCACAAAGAGGTGTTTGTTGAGTGACTAAACAAACTCCCGTCACAGTGCTCAGAGCCTCATGTGATGACAGCCATGGGTGGGCCCCGAACACTGCACCCCATCTCAGGCTGCCGGAGGTGTGGGGAGGAGCAGTGCTGGGTGTTCACGCCCCAGGGACACCCCTTAGCCCGCGAGCACTGGGCAAAGTGTAACCCCTCCCCTGCTCCCTCCTGCTGCGCAGGCTGTTCTGGGGGTGGCACCGCGTGGCTCAGGTGATGACCTGCTGGTCATCCCTTCCCTTGACCCCTGGCTTTTCCTGGCCCACTGCCCCACCACTCTGCTTTCATTTCCCAGGAACACTTCCCAGTAAACCACCTTCACCCATTCCTTGTCTTAGAGTCTGTGTCTGGGATAGGGGTCCACTTTTAAGCTTAAATACCATGTGAGCACTCACCCACCCCAGCCCTGCTGCTCACCCTGTCGGTAGAGACTTGTGTCCCCGGGAGGGTCAGAAGCCTGTGGTACTGAGTGTGTCCATTCGGTGACCACCCACAGTGGACACGGATGTGGGCTCGATGCTGGGCTGTCCAGAGGCACGACAGTGAGTTCCCACCCATCTCCTCCCTGCACCCCGCTTCCTCTGCCTGCACAGTGGGAGGGAAGCCAGGGCCTGGCTGCACGAAGCCTCTGCCGAGCAGTCGTGTGGGGTTCCTGGCTGGTGCCAGTGGCGCAGGTGCTCGGTGGTTAATGGGAAGTCGGGGGTTTGAGTCCAGGCAGAGGTGCCTCGGGGGAAAGGCCTGGCCGTCTGCATCTGAAGAGCCAGCTGCAGAGCCCCCTCACGGAGCGCAGTTCTGCTCGGAAACCCTGGGGGTGGCATCTGTGTGTGGACCTGTGGCCCTGACAGGCTGCTCCAGGCAGGCCTTTGAAAGCCCGTCTTGGCTGCAGGATTGTTAATTAATTCACGATTTCAGTGAAACCCCCCTGGAGACCCAGTATGTGAGAGGTGGAGTGGTTCTCCACGCAGCAAGTTAGGGGCTTCCCTCTCCGCCCCCCGAGAACCCGCGGGTCTTTAAAAGCTTGGCTTTGTTGTTTTGTTGTTGAACGTCTACACAGCAGAGCACACAGCAGCTTGTCAGCTTCTGTGTGTCCAAGTCAGTGACATGACGTCCTTCAAAGGGGGAAGCCATCCCCACACTCCAGCGAGCTGATGCCCCACCATTGACGTCAACTCACTGCCCCCGGGTTTCTTCTCTAACCTTTCGAGTTGCTCTTGTCACTTTGATCTCATACAGATAGGTCTTCACAGGGCGTAATGTTGAAGGCAGGCGTTTTTAACTAGTTAAGCTAAATTTTTGTTTTGTTTTAGCAAGACTTTAGGGGATATTTTTCATTTAAGGTTTAAAGACTCATAGCGACCCCCTTCTTGGTTTCTGAGCAGGTATCACTAGGGAAGTAGATTGCCCAGTCTTCCTTCCCAGGAGTGGCTGGTGGATTTGAAACGCCAGCCTTCTGGTTAGTGGTCAAATGCCTTAGGCACTATGCCACCAGAGCTCCCTTGACAAGACTTTAGGGGGTATTTTTGGCATAAGGTTTAAAGATGACCTCAGGAAAGTATTTCAGGGGTTTATCCAGCCTCCATGGATCCAGGAAGTCTGGATTCCATGAACATTTGAAATTCTGTTCCATAAATTCCCCCTCTTGGTCAGGAATCTTCTGTAGAATCTTTGATCGACATGTTCAGTTATGGTAGCCAGGAACCCCCCGAGTTGAAAGAGGTGACTTGGTGAGGCCGAGACAAAGGGGTTCCAGAAGGCAGGATCTGGGCACAGGCCGGGGGCGGGGGGCACGCCGCCGAGTGCAGGTCCCCTGCGACGGCCTTGAGGGGCAGACGGGGCTGCCCGTGCTGACGGGCCTCCCTCCCCCAGCGGCGTGGCATGAAGGGCAAGGCCCGTAAGCTGTTCTACAAGGCCATCGTGCGCGGGAAGGAGATGATCCGCATCGGAGACTGCGCCGTCTTCCTGTCGGCCGGCCGCCCCAACCTGCCCTACATCGGCCGCATCCAGAGCATGTGGGAGTCCTGGGGCAACAACATGGTGGTGCGCGTCAAGTGGTTCTACCACCCCGAGGAGACCAGCCCGGGCAAGCAGTTCCACGAGGGCCAGGTGAGCCCCGTGGTCTTGGCCGACATCCCCTTGCCCGGGTCCACAGTGCCTGGGTGTCACAGGATGACCAGGATGGTCCCCTGGGCCAGGCTGTCCCAGCCGTTATAGGACAGTGACCCCGACAGAACAGGGAGGCTGTGACCCAGACCCTGCCCCATGTGCCTGCCCCGGGGCTGAGGACTGGGCGAGGCCGGCTCACCCCACCCCTCCTGTTGCACGGGCAGCCCTGGGACCAGAAGTCAGGCAGGAGCCTCCCCGCCGCCCTGCAGGCCTCCAGCCAGAGGAAGGACTTCATGGAGGTAGGGGCCCAGGGGCCCTGGGGTGCTGGGACCTCGAGAAGCGGGTGCTGCCCAGCGGGAGCCGCGTCCGCTCTGGCCCCGCTCCCTGAGGAGCCGGCCCTGTGACCGTCCAGCTCTTGGCTGCTCTCGGCCTCTGCCGGCTGCCGCCTCGGGCTCTGTCCTGGTCTCCTGGCCTCTCTCGGTCTACCTGTCCTTGTCCTCAGTCCTCTTCTCTGCCGGCCGCAGCCATCTGTCTCCGTCTCCATCTTAGTCTCTGTCTCTCCTTGTCCTCAGTCCCACTCTGGGTCTCCATCTCTGGCTCTCTCTCTCCAGGAAGCGGGGAGGAGGGGGGTCTGTCCTCTCTGCCCATGTGCTGTCTCCCATTGCCCCTTGCTCCCCACCCGCTCCCCACCCCTTGACCACCTGTCCTCTCCCCCTTATCCTGTCCTGTTTCCCACGCCCCCTGACCCCGTCCTCCTATCCTCCACCCATTGCCCTGTTCCCCACACCTCGCCTGCTGCCTGCCCTACCTGCTGCCTGCCCCACCTGGCCCGTGCTCCCAACCACCACCTCTGAGCCCCGCACCCCGCCTGCTCTGCGCCGCTGACAGCCTGCCCGCCCGCAGCGCGCCCTGTACCAGTCGTCGCACGTGGATGAGAACGACGTGCAGACAGTGTCCCACAAGTGCCTGGTGGTGGGCCTGGAGCAGTACGAGCAGATGCTTAGGACCAAGAAGTACCAGGACAGCGAGGGTCTGTACTACCTCGCGGGCACCTACGAGCCCACCACGGGCATGATCTTCTCCACCGACGGCGTGCCCGTGCTCTGCTGAGCGCCGGCCGCCCTGCCAAGGGCTCCGCCAGCTGCCTTGCCCCCGAGGCCCCCGGGGACTCCTCCCATCACTGCCACGGCCAGAGGCCGCGTGGGGGCCATGCGAGCCGTGACAGGGCACCTGCCCGCGGCCGAGAGCATGCAGCGTGCCCGTGGACACATGCGTGCGTCCATGGGGGTGTGAGTGCGACGTGAACATGTGTGTACCCGTATGCATGCACGTGTGTGCGCACGTGTGCACGCGCCTCCGGACCCCCTCCTAGACCCTTCGGTGCCCCCCAGACGGGGGCTCCTCCCAGGGATCAGGGTATAGCTCTGCCCACCCCCCAGGCCTTCCCAGCAGCTCGTAAACATTTGGCCCTCCAGGCCCTTCGAGGCCCACGCCAGCTGGGCATCGAAGACTCAGACTGGGGAGGAAGGGGTTTCTAAGGAACCAAACTCTCACTCTGGGGCGTTTCCCCTGCCTCGGGCCCTCCTGGGGCTGCCAGGGTCCGGCCACCTCGGCACAGAGCCCAGCCAAGGCCTCCTACCGCAGGAGGGGCGTTCAGCGCCAGCCAGCCTCACCAGCGGTGCCAGGCCTGCACCCGGCCTCGCCAGGAGCCCAGGCCTCCACCCTCTCAGGATGGCCTGGAACTTGGGGAACACACCAGACAAGGGCAGAGCCCGGAGCATCGGCGAGGCACCAGGTGGAGGCCAGGTGCAGGCCGCACCCCAGCCCCGATCCTCACACTACAGAAAACCCCAATGGTGCTGAACCCTTGCCCGGCCCAGGCGCACCCAGCCCCTCCGCGGCCAGGTCTCGGCCGCCCCCAGAGGAGGCCCTCCTTAACCTGTACAGTTTTGTTGTACCCAGAGACTAGCCCCACCCCTGTATGATACGCCTTTAAATGGAGTCGACTTTTTAATTATATATATAAAGATAAATATATATAAATATAAACTTTTTAAAACTGTGAAAAAAATAGCTATGAAATTATAAAAAGCAAACACATGCTGATGTGTAGAATATTTTTATTTCCTGTTAGATTGTGGGTGTCACGGACCCCCACCTCACCCCGTGTCCCCACGCACACCCCTGCCTGCCCCCCTGCCTCCCTGTACTGTATTTGCCCCCCCCAGACGGATAAGTAGCTAGAGAGAGCAAGGGAGAGGGGCGCCCCCCTCTGACCCAACAGCACTTACTCGACCCCCCCACGCCTTCCAGGGGGGCAGGAGCGCTTGCCCAGACAATCTTGAGGGAAGGAAAAGCCAGACTTCGGTTTTGTTTTTTGGGGGATTATTATTATTTTTTTTTTTTTAAGTTTCTTTGGAATTTTGTTTGTTGGCGAATTCTGTGTGATCTTTTTCATAAAAAAAGAAAAGAAAAAAAGATTTCACTGGAAAACACTGTTATCTGCGTGGTTTATTTCAGGGGCCGGTGGGGTTGGCCTTGGGCATTAAGGAATGGAGGTGAGGGAACACAGGCTTCTGGGGTTGGGGTGCCTCTGCCGGGCAGGCCGGAATTTCAGGAATCCTGTTGGGGACGGCTCACTGGCCATGTGCAGCTGTTTAATTTGGAATTCATTTAAATGAGTAGCAGTGGTGGCTCGGTGGAAGAATTCTTGCCTCTCATGCAAGGGACCTGGGTTCGAGTCCCGGCCGGCACAGCCACCAGCCGCCTGTCAGTGGAAGTTTGTGTCTTGCTGTGATTGTTGAACGGGTTTTAGTGGAGCTTCCAGACTGACTAGGAAAAAAGCCTCGCTTTTACTTCTGAAAATCAAGGAGTGAAAGCCTTAGTGGATCAGCGAGGTCCTGTCCTATTGGGCGTGGTGTCACCAGGAATCAGAGGCCAACTTGCTGGCGGCCAACAATTTCAATGGAAAAAAAAAAAGACAAGTTCAGTTGCTTGGGTCTCCTGAGCGACCTTGTCATTGTGGGTTTGGTTTTGTTGCATTGTGACCTGGGAGAGAGCCCATGTGTTACAAAGTAGAACTACTCCACAGACTTTTTTTTTCCCCTTCATTGTGGGTTGACTGGGGAATTGTACTCAGGGACTCTTCCGTCCAGAACACGTCTTCAAATACCGCTGCTTAGCACAGTAGAGAGAGGAATCTTTGGAGCGTCTCGGCCCATGCTTCCATGCTCAGCCCGTACTTCCATGAACCACTGACCAGAGTCTGTCACACGGCCCAGCCCAGCAACAAGGGGCCAGGAAGCAGGGGCCACTCATGGTCCTAGAGGGGGCCCTTCTCTGAGCCTTTAGACTGTGCCTGATCCCACAGGAGCAAATGCTGTCATCTTCATGGAAGCCCATTGCCTGCTCTTCCCCACGTAGCCACTAGGGGGGTTCAACTGGCCAATGTTTTTACCGCCCAGGGCCCTTCACTAGCCACATTCTCAGTGCTCAATTGAAGAGTGCAGAGCCCACGTTCTAGAACATTCCACCCCTGCACTGTTGCCTAGGTTTCATCTCACTTTTGTTGGTTTCAGACACAGAGCTGGGTGCTCTTAGCCAGTTCCCGTGCTGCTGCCATGCCTAGAGGTGGCACGGGTGCCAGGGGCCGCGCCGGGACCTCCCTGCAGCCAGTCACGGGGAGGTGGAGGCTGCTGCTGCGGCTCAACCACCAGGGGCTGCGAAGTGTGTTCTCGCTGAGGACAGCCCTCCTGTGTGTCCAAGGAAAACTGCCCCCCACAGGGTTTCCCATGGCTGACTTTTTCACCGGTAGCTCTTCGGACCTCGCTTCTGAAACGCCTCTGGCTGACCTTGAACCTGCAATCTTTTGGTTCGTAATTGCCGGCATTAACTGTCGGCACCACCCAGAGACGGAAGGGAGAGCTCTCTCTCACTCGTGGAACCTCTGCTGGTGCAGTGGTTAGGGCACTGGGGCTGCTATCCAAAAGGTGAGGGTTCGACCCCACCAGCTGGTCAGGAGGAGGACGATGAGGCTGTCGGTTTCTGTAAAGATTACAACCTTGGAGAAACCTTATGGGGGCCGTTCTCTGTTCGCCAGGAGCCTGTGACTCGGATCCCATTCGCTGGCAGCGGGTTGTGGAACCTCACTAACCAGCAAGAGCCACTCTTTTAGGGATCTCTGGTAGCGTGGTGCCTAAGGCATCTGCTAACCAGAAGGCTGGCAGTTCAAACCCGCCAGCCACTCCTTGGAAGGAAGATGGGGCAATCTACTTCCGTAGTGATACTGCCTGGGAAACCCAAGGAGGGGTTGCTATGAGTCGCACATAACAACGAAAAGGAAGAGGCTATCTCTGTAACAGGTGACACACCCACCCAGTGCCCTGGGCCCATGAAAGGGAACCCGCTTGGTGGTGGCCCCAGCTCTAGTCTGTGACCCTGTGCTCCCAGGAGCCCTCCACAGGTGGGGCTGCAGCTAGTGTTCTGGGGGCAGGGGGCCTGGGAGGCCATTCTTGGGGCAGGGGCTGGGCCTGGTCCACCCATCCCTGAGACTGTGGCCCTTACGGGACCCGCAGGTACCTTGGGAGGGCGGGGGCACTGGTCAGAGAGGAGGAACCCTGGGACATAGTCCTTCGCTGTTTAGCACTTGTGCGCCTCTAGCTTTGGATTTGTTTCGCAAGGAGCGGCCGTCAGCTGTCAGCTGATGAAGAATTCACACACCAATGCCCGGGCTCGGGTCCATGCGCCTCCGGGCCACCCGCAGACCCACTACGAGATGCCAGTGGTCTCTGCCGCAGCCCCGCGCACACCCCGCTCACGGCAGAGTGGCGCCACCACGTGGCCGCTTCGGGTATTGCCCTTATGTCTCTGCCCACATGGCGGCCCTGGAGCCCCCTGGCGGTGGTGAGTGGTAGTGGTGAAGGGGGATCCTGCTCCGAGGCTGGGCACAGCCTTCTCCCAAGCCTCCCTCCAAGGGACGCCCCCATCAAGGAGAATCTGGGGTGGACCAACCCCACTCACTGGGGAAACTGAGTCCCAGAGGGCGGAGGATGGCTGCCTCATTTCCGAGTTTGCTTTCTCCCGGACATGGGCTCCCCTCGGCCGTTCTGCCTGGCTCACCCTGAAGGCTGCAGGGACCCGAAGTGCTTCCACTCCTCCCCACTCCACCCCTGCAGTCTTGCCCCTCCACACAATCCTGTCCCACGCCCACGAGGTGTGTGGAGACCCTCCTGCTATTTGGTCCATCCCCACCAGCCCCCTAGAAACTTCCAGGCTGGGTGCACGCAGGGCCACTTCACAGGTGGGAAGCCACTTCCCCGGCTGAGTCACGACGCTCCTCACAGGCAGTGGTGGGGTGGCCCCGAGGCTGTCATCTTTAATGGCCAGTGCGGTAGAGTTAGTGGACAGATGGACAGACAGAACACAGTGGGGGCAGGGTGGGCACGGCAGGGTGGTGGGAGCGGAAGGGCAGGCCTCCCCCACCCCTTGCACCACCACTCAGGAAAACCCATCTTTGCAGGTCCCCTCACCCCAGGGTGCAGGCTTGGGCAGCCCACTACCTGTCGTGGCCTTCCTTGCAGGGTGTGGGGGCCCGTCCTTGGGACCCCCAAACTTGTCACCCCTCCTCAGCAGGTGGAGAGGAGCGAGGAAAGGCCACGGGGGTCCCTGCCTGTAGCATCAGCCAGATGTTGGGGGGTGCTGGGGGGTGCTGGGCTCATGGTAGCTGAAACGACCTGCCCAGGACACATAGCTGCTGTGGTCCCCGAGATGCCATTGCAGACCGCAGTCTGAGTCTGTCTGACCCAGGGCTGCAGTCCCTTCATGGTGCAATTTTGGGAGAACAAGCAAAGGCTGGAGAGGGAGGGGCCCTTGGGGTGACAAGGCTGGGGCTGCCCTCTCTGCTGATGGCTCATGGTTGGGGGGCTGTGGCCCGTGTGGCCAGGGCCTTGGGCCCTCAGAGCAGCGCCTAGGGTGAGTCACCAGGTGGGAGGCACCGTAGGGTGCCCCGGTTTCTGGCTGGGGACGTCTGGCCCCCACGGAGCACTGGCCTGGGGTCACGGGGTGCAGACGGAGAGTGAAGGGCCAGCTGCAGATGGTAACAGACCACAGTGCTGGGCAGAGCCCCGGACTCCCACGGTCCGACCGAACTAAGGCCAGAGCAATGGAGGCGCTGGACCCAGAGGTGATGCGATTGGCACAGGAGGAGGCCTGCCCCCCAGGCACTGCAGGCGGAGGTGGGGAGGGCCCTCAGGCCTGGCTAGGGGGGTCCAGGCCCGAGCTGAGCCGAGGGGCCGGCAGAGGCCTGGTCAGAGGCCGGCAGGGAGGGAGCCATTGGTGGTGTCGGTGCGCAAGCAGCTGCTGGGGGCGTCCCGCGTGAGGCTGTAGGTGCAGTAGGCCACGGCCGAGCCCAGCGTCAGCCCCGTCATGTAGGACACGGTCATGGTGTTCCCTGCGGACAAGACGGGGCCTGAGCTACCGCGGCGGAGCAGCGCCGTCCTCCCACCGTAGCCTCGACCCCAGCCGCCACTCCTGGCCATCACCGCGGCCTGGCATCCTCCAGGCTGATCGGGGGTGAGAAGGGTGGTGACTCTCAGCGCCTGGGAGGCGGTAATTCGGGTAAACTGGTGTCCTGCTGCAAACACACACTGGTCGCGGTGAGACTCGCGCCTCCCCAGGCGGTCTGCACTTCAGGGAACCTCCTCCGGTCGCGCCCGCGCCCCCGGCAGCCACGCCCGCGCCCGCGCCCGCGCCCGCGCCCGCGGA